CATCCATATCGTCCCAAATGTTACGATTTCATTCTTCTTTATGGCAGAGTAATACTCCATTATATAAATATACCACAATTTCTTAATCCAGTCGTCTACGGATGGGCATTTCCATTGTTTCCAAGTCTTGGCTATTGTGAATAGCGCCGCAATAAACATAGGGGTACATATATTTTTTTGAATTAGCGTCTTGGGTTTCTCTGGATAGATACCAAAGAGTGGAATTGCTGGGTCATACGGTAGTTCCATTTTCAGTTTTTTGAGATACCTTCATACTGATTTCCATAATGGCTGCACCAATCTGCAGTCCCACCAACAGTGCACCAGGGTTCCCTTTTCTCCACAGCCTCACCAGCACTTGTTGTTTGTTGATTTATTGATGATAGCCATTCTGACTGAAGTGAAGTGGTATCTCATTGTGGTTTTTATTTGCATTTCCCTAATGATTAGTGAGGTTGAACATTTTTTTCATATGACTGTTGGCCATCTATATGTCCTTCTTTTCACTTTTTAAATGTCCTTTGAAACACAAAAGGTTTTAATTTTTATGAAGTCTAATTTATCTTTAATTGCTTGTGCTTTTGGTGTCATATCTAAGAACATATTGCCAAATCTAAGGTAATAAAGATTTACTTACAAGCATATGTCTTCTACAAGTTTTAAAATAATGTGGTATCATATACATAATATGAAATTTATCACCTTAAACATTTTAAAGTTTACAGTTGACTGGCATTTTACATTTACATTGTTGTGTTACCATCATCTTCATCTATCCACAACATTTTTTATCTAGCAAAATTGAAACTATGTATCTAGGATTTCTGATTGACAAGGTTTCGTTGTTTTTTTTTTTCTTAATGAGATATGTTATCTCATTGCTTTCTGGTCTCTATCTGTCTGTTGAGAAGTCAGCCATTAATCTTATTGGGTTTCCAGCATATTAATGAGTTTTTTCTCTTGTTGACAATCTGGGTTTTTTTTTAAAGATTTTATTAGGGAATTGGGATAGGGAACAGCGTTGGGGAATTGGGGAAGGGGAACAGACAAGTTGCTGTCCTTTTGTTCTTCAGTCTAGTTGTGGAGGACGTTGCTTCACTGGCCCATATTGGTATTATCATTGCACTCTTCCCGGGTGAGGCAGTCGCTCACAGGCCATTGGACGGCCACTCATGGAGGCTTACAGCAGCTCATGCTGGCTGCCTGCTGCTCATGCTGGCTCCTGGCCACTCACGGTAGCTTATAGCAGCCCACTGCAGCCCCAGTGCAGCGTACGCTGTCACTGGCAACTCACAGCAGCCCAGCTCCAAGTTGAGCTGTTGTTCACCAATTTTAGCTGTACAGGGTGCAGTATCACTGGCCTATGTGGGATCCAAACCAGTGGTCCTGCTGCTCAGAGCTGGCACTCCCAAGCCAACTGTTAACCAGCAAGCCACTCGGCCGGCCTGACAATCTGTATTTTTACAATGATGTGTATTTTGGTGAATCTCTTTGCATTTATCTTACTTGGTCTGTGTTAAGATTCTTGGATGTGTAGGTTATTGATTTTTACTAAATTTTGGAAGTTTTCAGTATCATTCAAATATTTTCTGCTGTTTTCTTGTGGTAATCCCATTACATGCATGTTGGTGCATTTAATTGTGTCCCACATTTCTCTGAGTCACTGTTCCATTTTCTTATTTTTTTTCCCTTGTGTAACCTCCATTTTTCTTTATGTCTGCTTGTTCTTTCCTATGCCAGCTTGTATCAACTATGGAGCCCTGCTACCAATTTTTTCCCCAATTTTCAGCCATTGTATCTTTCTAATACAGAATTCCAATTTGGTTCTTTTCAATAATTTCTATTGTTTTATTACTAATTTCTGCTATATGCAATACCTTACATTTTTTTTATCCTTAGGTGAAAGGTATACATACATTTATTGTATTTACTAACTTTTTTTTTTACCAAAACAGCTGGTAATAGTTAATATTTACAATTTTATGTTTTTGGAGATACATATATATCTGTAAACCCATTATGACTCTCAATCAGATTAACTTATTTAACACCTTAAAAATATCCTCTTGCTCCATCTTTTTTATTTTATTTTACTTTTATGGTAAAAGCACATAAAATCTAGCCACGAATTAAAAATTTAAAACTTTTTCTGTCTGACTTATTTCGCTTAGCATTATAATCTCAAGATCCATCCATGTTGTTGGAAATGGCACTATTTCATCTTTTCTAATGGCAGAATAGTATTCCATTGTGTATATATACCACAACTTCTTATCCAATCATCTATTGAAAAACACTTTGGTTGTTTCCATGTCTTGGCCACTGTAAATAAGTTGCAAAAAATATCAGAGTACATATATCTTTACAGATAAATGTTTTCAGACTTTTTGGGTAGATACCCAAAAGAGGGATAGAATGGTAATTCTATTTTTAATTTTTTGATGAATCTCCACACTGCCTTCCATAGTGGCTGCACCAATCTGCATTCCTACCAACAGTGTATGAGGGTTTCTTTTGCTCCACAGCCTCTCCAACACTTGCTATTATTTGTCTTGTTGATGATCAAATAGAAAAAGTCAAGAACCATATGATTTCACTGATATGTGGTATATAAAACTGAAAACAACAAATGAATAACACAAACAAATGAAGAAACAAAACTCATAGACACAGACAACAGTTTATAGTTTACCAGAGGGTAAAGGGGGAGGGTAAGTGGTAGATGAGGGTAAAGGGGATTAAATATATGGTTATGGAAAGAGAACTGATTCTGGGTGGTGAACACACAATGTGATATATAGATAATGTATTACAGAATTGTACACCTGAAATCTATGCAACTTTGCTAACAATTGTCACCCCAATAAACTTTAATTAAAAAGTATTTAAAACAATACAATATAATATTATTAATCATAAGCACTCTGTTGTACAGTCGATATCCAGAACTATATATGTTGCATAATTGAAACCTTGTACCTTTTGATCAAATTGCCCCATTTCACCACCCCTGCAGCCAATGGTAACCAACATTCAACTCTGTTTCTATGTGTTTGATATTTTAGGTTACATATATAAGTGAGATTATGTAGGGTAAACTAGGTGAAATAAATGGTGATGAAAGGAAAACTGACTCTGGGTGGTAAACACACAATGTGATATACAGATGATGTATTACAGAATTGTACACTTGAAACCTATGTAATTTTTCTAACCATTGTCACCTCAATAAATTTTAATTTTAAAAAGGCTATATAATATTAACTTGTATGTATATACCATATTTTTCTATCTACTTATCCATAGATGGACATTTAAGTTGTTTCCATATTTTTAATATTTTGAATAATGCTGCAATGAACATGGGAGTGCAGATCCCAAAATCAATTCCTTTAGGTACCAAAAAGTGAGACTGCTGAATCAAATGATAATATTATTTTTAATTTTTAAAAATAAATGTTCATGCCATCTTCCATAGTGGCTGCACTGATTTACATTCCAATGAAAAAAGCACATAATTCCCTTTATTCCACATCAATCTTTTTTTCCTGTTTTTATTAAAGTTTATTGGCGTGACAATTGTTAGTAAAGTTACATAGGTTTCAGGTGTACAATTCTGTAACACATCATCTATATATCACATTGTGTGTTCACCACCCAGAGACAGGTCTTCC